TACTTGCTGGGTGGACTTTAACAGCAGAAATAATCATCTTTATATGTGTACCCTCCCATGGTAAAAACCCTTAGTCTAAGACATAGATAGAGGTTTATGTATAGAGATAAGCATATATCTAAATAGAGATAGAATATCAATTTGAAAGTTCTAATAGCTGTGTTTTAATCTTATCACTCTGAAAGGATGTTCTGTAAAGCATCTTGCAATCTCCCTGAATTGTGTTTCTGTCATGGCAACCGTCCATCAGAGCCTATCTCCACATCTAGAAACCAGATAGACAGTCTCTTCCTTGCTCCCTGACCCTAGTGACCATTGTGTTTATGAGTGCTTGAAGGAGTCAAGAGCAGGAGATCTCAAGGCTTTACAATCTGAGATACCTTAGTGATAGGCACTGTTTAAGTACACAGAGAGGTGATCCAAGCCTCCACTGAGCTACCCCAATGACGTAGGACTGAACCATGGATGCTCGTCAGTGAAATTCACGCTCATTTAAGAGTGTCAGGCTAGACCTCTGAGTCTAGGGAAACAAGATAAGTGGGCAAAAAGAAAAACACACTTCGTTTTTGTTTCACTTACCTGTGAGCATTCTAATCATATTCACGACAGAAGTATTTTCATGTTTTAAAAACAAGGAAAACCTCAGCAAAGACCACACTACTATTTTCCTTTGATTGTTACCATGTTTCTGGAAAGTTCTCCCCCCCCCCTTCTGGAGACCATGATTGCTGATTGAAATGAGAGCATATGATACACCCCCACTGGCTTAGCAGATGGGAGGAGCCACTAAATACTTACCGAGGAACTCTGAATGGCTGAGAATTTTAAATTCATCCAATGAATTCGCAGAGTCAGCCAGGCCACACACAGTACCACCACTCGAACATTGTCACTAAGAATGTGGTGTAAAATAACTATTTTGCCTCTCAGAGTATTTTTGAACTCCTTTTTGTAGTCACAAATGCACAGATGCAAACTGATGTTACACAAGAGGACAGTGCCTGTCTTCGCAGGCCGTGGTCCCTGGTGCCTAGGTGCCTAGTCTCACCTGCCAGAGCTCTCGGGTGATAGACTGCCTCAGCTGATCTATGGGGCTTCAAGGGGTGAGAGGTAGAAACTTGGTGCAAGTCATTTTTAGAACCAATCAGCATTTGGAATTCAGTGATCAAGGCCTGCCCGTACACCTGTAGGGTTTACAAAGCACTATGGTTTTATAAACACTGATACTGATATTTACTGCCCCTTCCTCTCATATAGCCGGGATGAATTAAATATCTATCTAGGGGTCTGCTGCCAACTTAAGATTTTTCCAAAAATAAGCAGCATTGAGGAGTGCGAGGGGCCGTGGCTCCCTGGCTGTCCATCGAAGACTAGCTGCTAATTCTGATTTCATTCAGCAGCAACAACCACAGAAGGCATCCATGCGGTGCTGCCTGTGTGTGGCTGCGACCAGCCGTGTGAAACAGAAAAGGACATTCACCCAAGTCATTGATTCTTAGCTCCCCAGACATTTGTTTACCGCAGTTGGCTACACTGAACTCTCCCAGAGCTAAGGTGAGAGATGACCATGTTCCAGCAGTAGGCAGTAGGTCACAGACCCAACAGCCAGTGCTCAGTGAGGCTCTGAGGCCACCTACCTGCTCTCGGGACTTGATGTGGCCTGCCATCAGCAAGCAATGTTGCCCCCTGGGGACTAAGAGCCTGCCTGTCCCTCAGTACATCCAGCCTACGAAGCAAATTCAAGTTCTCCCCGAGAGGCTCCTTTAAGTGTTTTCCTCCCCCAATGTTATTTTAAAAAAAAAAATACATTTAGTGTTTTAAAACAAATTGAGGATTTGATGAAGGAACCACCAAAATGCTAAGGAATTGAGTGCAACTTTGAAATATGAAAATAGGACCATGAAAATTGGGACCCTAATTAACGTGGGAAAATAGTCATTGAAGTTGGGACCCCTGTTGATATGTAAACAGCACAGACAGAGTGGAAAATGGGATTAGTGAACTGGAGGGTAGGTAAGAGGACATTATCTGAAAGTCAGCATTCACTGAGGTCTAATAATTGTAGGAATGAGAAGGACTAACAGATAAGTCAGTGGAGTTAGTCTTCTATAGCCATAGTTTCCACGTCAGCAGATTCAAACAATAATGGTTCAAAGATGTTAGTCTTCTCTAGCCACAGTTTCCACATCAGCAGATTCAAACAATAATGGCTCAAAGATGTTTAGGGGGGGGGGGGAAGTTCCAAATTACAGGCTTTGTTTTCATTATTTCCTAAATAATCCTTTATCATTTTTTCTTTTCTTTTGAGATAATTACTTCATTTCTCCTTTCTCTTTTTCTCCCTTCAAACCCTCCCATATATCCTTCTTTGGTCTCCAAGTTTCTTATTTAAACTTTTGAGATCTGTAAAATCACCATCACATAACCTTTCATTCAATCTAATATGTTTTATTAATATACTTATAGCAAATACATAGTAATCATCCACACTTTTGCAGTGCAATGTGGCCTTTAAATATACGAATACAACATATAACAATCAAACTTGGAAAACCAGCATATACATCACCTCAGACCTTATCATTTCTTAGTGAAATTAATATATTTCTCTCACTTCTCCTGTGTGCAAGGTACCCATTTATCCTATATATGTAGATTAAAATCTCCAAAGGCAGAAATGGGGTTTTATTCTAATGTCAGTAAATTACCATCATTGTAGAAATCTTTTTATAAAATCCCTAAAATTGCAGAACAAATGAATTGAGAAGCCCAAGCTAACAAAGAGAGTAAATTGATTTTTTTTTAAGATTGTAGCACCGAGTGGTTCAAGTTGTTGGGCTACACAAGAATAAAACACCAAACTGTTAATCGCTACTCCTGAGTATGGCTTTTCGTGGGCAGAGGCCATTTCTCCATGTTTACTTGTGTAGGCTGCTCGCTGCTCATAATACTGCCCAAAGCTTGGATGGCCTTCTGATAAAGACTCTCTGTAGAAACATCCATAAATTAATCATGAGTGTCAAACTTCTCTCAAGGCAGTGAACAGTGTGTTCCAGATAATATTTATCTAATCAGGCCACATAAATTTAATCTTGAAATAGTTGCCTTTCCAAAGGGAGCAATTGCTAAAGTGTTTTGATTAAATTTCTGATTCTTTATCAGCGTGATGGTATCAATAAACCTCCAGCCAAGGTCTACAGAATAGTAAACCAAAGAAGTGCATGGACCGGAGCATGACAGTAGAGCGTCAGATAAGCCAACTCCCAGCGGGCCTCATTTCATACGGCCTAGTCTCTCTGGCTGAGAAAACAGAGCGGCAAACTAGAGAAGCCACTCCAGAAGCAAACTGTGTGCATGTGTGCACAAACACACATGGACACATGCACACATGGACAATGGACACATGCACACATGGACACACATGCACACATGGACACACACATGCACACATGGACACATGCACACATGTCTACACATGCACATGTGGACACATGCACACATGTGGGCACATGCACACAGGGACACACACATGCACATACACAGTAGGGGAACAGAGGATATGTGTGTGTGTGTGTGTGTGTGTGTGTATGTGTGTGTGCGCACGCGTGCGCACGCATATATTCTGTCTCATTTCTATCCACCAAATTTAAGAGGTGATTATGGTCCATTTGAGTTGCTTTTTACATTTTTAACTTTTACTTGCACATGTATAAATGCGGGTGTGCTTGTGCCATGGAGCATGTGTGGAGGTCAGAGGTCACCTTACAGGAATTCTCTTTCTACCCTGTGAAATCTGGGAACAAAACTTGGGTCTTTTGGCATGGTGGCAGGAGCTTTTTACCCACTAAGCCATCTGGACTTTTCTCTTTTCTCAGCCTATAATAAATGTAGGAACTGTGGAGGCAAATCTGCCCATCGCCTTCACAAAGTCTTACCCTAAGCTTCGCATACCAGTTGGCATTCAGAGAATTCACTATTATGGCCCTGAGAATATAGTAATTGACTGTCGTCAACACAAGCTAAAATAAACCACTTTGGAGCTGAGGGAATGGGTCTCATTTTCTGGTGTGCTTTTCCCGCCTCCCTACCCCCTATAGCCTGATTTCTTTGGGAAGAGGTCATTTTAAAGTTTCCATGCTTAGCCCTGTAGGCGTGTGTTAATGTGTGCAGCTGGGTTTGTGATTTGATATTGTTCTGCTAACCACGCAGAGTAGCTGTGGAAAGCTGGGAAAGGCCACGTAGGCTGTAATCACGTAAAAGGGAATGTGCGCATGTGTGCACGTGTGTGCGGTGAATTCAAGACATGATGATGAGGGAAGACTCTAAAGATACTTAAGTGACTCTAGGGTCTCAAAACAAGACGCCAAAGCCACCGTCAGGCTTTGCAATGGCAGCCACAGTCGTGGGAGCCAATTTGTACCTAGACCTGGAAGGAGACAATTATGGTCTCTACTACAAATGCAGAAATGGACCCCTGCCCATGGCTTCAAAACGAAAAGGTATTTCTCAAAATATGGTACCCAGACAGCACTGGGTGCAGCCACGGTGCCTGAGGATTAAACATGCAAATTCTTAGACTCACTAAAGACCTACTGAATCAGAAGCTCTTGGGAGTGTGTGTTTGTGTGTGGGGGGGGAGGTCATGTGTGATTTAACAAGCTCTCCAGGTGATTCTCGCGCACAACACAGTTGAAGGACTGCTAATCTGTGTACTCTCACAGCCTACATTCATGACCATACATGCATTAGTTTACATCCTAGGAAACATCAGGGCCTTTTCCTTCCCAGTACAAGTCCTTAGTGGGAGTGGCAGCTGCCACTGTGCCAGAAGCATGGAAGTGGTAGAGGTATTTCCATGGAAGGGAGCTGAGATGGCTCCGCAAATCCTGTCCAATTTCTCAGTCACTGAGTTGGCTGCTGGTGGCAGCAAGGTATGCCACGGTGAAAGCTAAGTTTCCCAGCCACTTTCCTGAGGCACAGGGAACCAGGTCCAGAACCTTCCTGAAATCCCCATTCTCCATTCACCTGAGATTTGCTTTTTAGTTCACAGGCTGAGGCCGGCTGACATCAAGGTGATTGGAGCCCTGGGTGACTCTCTCACGGTAGGTGACCTCAACTGGAGAAGGAATAGGAGATTTCGTTTTTACATTTTGTTTGTTTGTTTGGTTTGGTTTTGCGAGACAGGGTTTCTCTGCATAACAGTCTTGACTGTCCTGGAACTCACTCTGTAGACCAGGCTGGCCTCAAACTCACATAGATCCACCTGCCTCTGCTTCCCCAGTGCTGGGATTAAAGCCATGTGTCACCACTGCCTGAATTTGTTTATGCTTTTTAGACCAGGATTCATGTAGCTCAAGCTGACCTCAATTCACTATGTAGCTGAGGTTAGCTTTGAACTACTGGTCTTCCTGGGTCTACCCCCCAAGTGCTGGGGTTACTGTTGTGAGCTACTGTATCCAGCTGGGAGAGGAGATTTTATTTTATTTTATTTTTTATTTATTTATTTATTTATTTATTTATTTATTTATTTATTTATTTATTTNTTAACAAAGCAAAATCGTATTTGCTCTCTGAAGAACAGGGAAACAGATACATCTCCTGAATTTACCTGCCTTGCACTTGGAGTCATGGTCATGTCTCCTCTGAGTGGGAACCATCCCACTCAGAAGCTGCTTCTGTCCTACTGAGAGCCAGTGTCCCAACCTTTGAGAAAGTGCCATGTTGCCTTTGGTCATATGACTTCAGTGAGTCAGATGCCATCTCTGTATTGAGGGTAAGTAGAGGTAGTTCCGTGGCTAGAGTCCATGGCGGGTAAAAGCCAGGTTACTGTCCTGTCTCTATTCCTGAAGTCTGCCTGGCTAGTTAATCCAGCTGCCACAAGAATTAAGAGCTCTTAAAGATTCAGAGAAACTTGTATGGTCTCAGGTGGGTATAGAGACTCTTTTGCAATAGCATTCAGAAGACTTTTTTTTTTTTTTTTTTTTTGGTTTTTCGAGACAGGGTTTCTCTGTAGCTTTGGAGCCTGTCCTGGAACTAGCTCTTATAGACCAGGCTGGTCTCGAACTCACAGAGATCTGGAGAGGAGATTTTAGTGAACATGAAAATATGGATCTGAAAATTGAGATTTTAATCCTAACCTGTTTCTGGTCCTAATCTCCAAACCCACCACATCCCCCCTCCCTGCCCAATATCTAGCGCACCTTATACAGTGTGATATTCACTCCAATCTCTGCATTCTTTGCCAATGGGGGAAAAGTGGAAGGACCCTGAGGGTCCTGTCTGTGGTGGGGCAGCATCTCCTGCCATGAGTATCGCCAAAGATTCAGCCAGTCTAGAAGACTACTACTACTCAGGCAGGCAAAAGAGATGATGAGCTAGGAGCTAGGACTGATGGGTATGGAGGTAGGGGTGAGAAGTGAGGGTCAGTAGAAGACGTAGAAGTTCCAAAGATGAACAAACCTACCTCTGGAACTGTCCCATAGTGATACCCCAAACAAACCACCTGTTTAAAAACAAAACAAATAAACAAAAACCAATTCCATAGAGAGCCTCAGGGGTGGTCCCCAGAGGATCACTCCTGGTGGAGCTCAGCTGTCGTCTCCAGCTTCTGTCCCCTGGATCAGTTAGAAGGCAACATCTCCAGGTTTGAACTCTCCAAGGACAATTGTGTCTTAGTCGTAGTGAAGCTAGCTCGCTCTGTAGCCCCATGACAAAAGTCCTGTGAGGGCTGGCGTTCCTCACGTTCGATGCAGTGAGTACCCAGTCGTTCCGCTGCTGGCTCTAAAAGCCCTAGGATTCAGAGTGTTAGTTATCCCTGTAGCAACCTCCTCTGTGAGACCCCAGCGGGTGCTTGTCCCAAAGGTCCTACTGTGTGTAACCCTTGGAAGAAACTGGCAGGCTGATCCTTGACATCTTACTAGCTGTGTATCTTAGTCATTTCCTGCTGAGGGAGGCCTTGATCTCACCCCAACCCCCTACCCTCCTCCTGGTCTCCTAGAAGATGCCCTCAGGACAGAGAGCCTTAGAGAATCACACAGGTGCTCGGGACTTCTGGGGGAGGCAGCAAGTGTGCCATGGTGGCAGGTAGAAAAGGGAATTTGGTACCAAACTGTAGTTAGCATAACCTGGGGATTCCACCTGGAGTTTAGAAAGATCCCCCCAAGTACATTTTACGCCATTTCTCACCTGCGCATGCGTAGATGTGATGAGGCTAGGCTTAGCGAATGCTTCGTTTGATTATATGTTTCACAACTTTTAAAAGTGGACACAGTACCTTCAAGCATGTGCTTTTGAAAAAATATATGCTATCAGCCTGTGCGTCTCTCAGCTGCAGTCTAGACAGGGTTTCCCGGAGGAGGGATTAGCTGTAGTTGGCACCAGGCTCTCCCAGTGGGAGCGCACACTAATCCCAGAAAGGACGGGAGAGGTATCCATAGCAGGTTCCATCTGGATTCGAGAACTTTCCTAGGCATCCTGCCCAGGCTAAGGGCCTGGACATCAATAGGTGGACAGCTATGGTACCCTGAGAAAAAGCAGTGGTGGCCACCCGCTATTTGCTTTCTCTTTCAGGCAGCCAATGGGGCTGGGTCCAAAACTGGGAATGTCTTGGACGTCTTAACTCAGTACCGAGGCCTGTCCTGGAGGTGAGCAAGGCAAAGGCCCCCAAGACTTCTAGAAAAACATCATCAAGTGGGGGTTGGGCTATCTTGTTCTTTTTATATCAAACTTCTATATTCAATTTATCGACCTCTCCAAAAAACTATTATGGACAGGAGTTTGGTGGGAGGTAGAGGGGGTGGGAGGGGTGTTGGCAGGGTGGCGGGGTGGTGGGGGGATGGGGGTGGCGGGGTGGTGGGGGCAGTGAATGCGCACGGAATGTTTTGTTCATAGAAGTCGGTGCTATCCCGAGACTTTGGTGGCTTGGGTCGGGAGACCCTGACAAGGGTGCCCTTTAAAAAACAGCTTTTCCAAGCTAATCAGGAACAGGAAAGACCAGTGTAAGCTAGTGACAGTAATGGAGAAGCTGCTTGGCACCGGGCTGGCCACAAAAGAATTCCTCTGGATTGGGAAAGGCAGTGAGAGAGACCAACTCCATTCTCCCTGCTCCAGCATGAGTGGGACTCAAAGCTAAAACTATAGGAGCCGCTGCAGCAGCGACAATTTAAGTTCTCATGTATGTCTGTTTGCTCTGGTGTCCAGGGAGAGAGGAAAAGAGTTGCGTTCTGATTTGGTTTTTAGTTCTCGTGAAGAAATTATGGGCGTTTTGAGTCCCTGGAGCTGTGATTCCGGAGGGAAATCTGTTTTGTTTAGGATTGGCTGGCCCTTTAAACCTTCATTTTCTTTCTCTCTTCTCACCAACAGCATAGGAGGAGATGAGAACATCAAGACGGTGACCACCCTGGCCAGTGAGTCCCTTGGTGTTTTGGGGCGGGGTGGCTACGCCTAAGCTCACTGCGCCCCCTACTGGCGGCCGCCAGCCTCGCAAGGCAGCGGGACGCAGCTGCGTGCAGTAGGGGGCACTGCTTCCCCGTGGCTGCCATCCAGGCTCGGTTCCTGAGCTAATCAAAGCCATGGAGGGTTTTGTCAGTTTTTTAGTGCTTTTCAACAGGAAGTCGTCTTTATCCAATAAACGAGTAAGAAAAGGAAAGAGAGCTTAGACCAAATCTTAGGACAATCATTTAAAAGTGATCCGATAAAGAAGGGTTGGACCGCCGTTCTGGACTCAGAGCCTATCTGGGGAGCTCTCCACCTAGGCCTGGGAGGTGTGGGCATCTCTGTTCACAAGGACCTTGCTGTATGAACCCGTAGTAATTGCAGCATTGAGAGATGAAGTTACCTTGCTCAGGCTCATATTTGGGGCTCAACATTTTCCTTAAGGCTTTGCCAACAACCCACTCAGATTATTTTTTTTAAAGCCTGGCTACATTTTTCCAAGAGGGGGGGGGTCTACCTTTAATCTTTTGGGCTGTGGCTATGGGCAGTGCTTTCCATTATGGTACTTGATTCATTATCTTTAGTGCTGCCCACCCCAGTGTTTATTCTTAAAGTGCACTTTCTTTTAATTAGACATTAGACAATATTTATAGTGAATTATTTTCTTCTTAGATACCCCTAAGAATTTTGCCCGGGGAGGGGGGGGTAGGGGTTGGTTGGTTTCATTCTTGCTACTTTTCAGGTACGTATCCCTTTGGTATATCTTGAGCTAAGACACTGAGTTTTAAGCTAGCAAGGCTAGACAGTAGGGATACTTAAAGTCCAGACTGGCACGCCTGATTCAACTTCATGCCTATTATCTGTTTTAGTTCCTGGAAAACCGTGCTGAATTTAAATAAGTACAGTTCCATGTCATGAGTACTTCCTGTCCCCTGTTGCTAGGAGGTGACTTAGGCTGCTTCTGTGAGTGTGATGATCTTGGCTTTGAGGTGGCCTGGCAAGATGGCTGGACGTCATATTGTTCCAAGAACATCCACCAAAGTGCTTTACAAATGACTGAGACGGTGTCACCTCTCAGGCAGCCTCCTCTGATGCACTTAGCTTATCTGTTCAGCCTTCTTTCCTAGAGGGAAGAGATTCGGGGTAACCGGGTGTGTGGAACTGACTTCCAGTGCAAGGTCAGGACGTACCCCCATCCAGTGCCCGGCTCGATTTAACCCAGCAGGTGCTCTGGTACAGGGTGTGGGGGAGACAGAACTCTGTCCCGATGGCATCAGCCACTCTCCAGGGCAGGGCATGCCACCCTAAAGACAGACGCAAGCACTGATGATCAGCAAGCGTGGATGAACAGGTGGGGGGAAGTCAGCAAGGACGTCGAGACGTAGGGGGACCAGAAATCAGAAGGGAGAGTCTCAATGAAATCAGGTTCCATAAAGCAAAGTGTTGCCAATAGCTATAACCATAAAGAATATAAGGGATGGAGGACAAGGTTGATGAAATCTTTGATCAAATTGCAATAAAAAAAAACACAATATGACCATAATGTCTAGGAACTCTAGGATATGATCAAGAGGCCAAACCTAAGAACAGATAAAATAAACTGGATGAGCCAGGCAGTGGTGGCACACACCATTAATCCCAGCACTTGGGAGGCAGAGGCAGGCAGATCTCTGTGAGTTCGAG